GCACCATCCTCACAATCATTCTTATGCTTGAGCCCACTTTTGTAGCCACTGTGTCAATCCATCTCACTGAGGGTCTTCTTCTATTTCGCTGACCCTCTACTCTACCAAGCATGATGTCCTCCGGGAACGGATCGCTCCTGATAACATGTCCAAAGTGTGAGACGTAGTCTCGCCATCCTTGCTTCTAAGGAGCATTCTGGTTGTACTTCTTCCAAGACAGATGTGTTCGTTCTTTTGGCAATCCATAATATATTCAACCTTCTTTGTCCACACCACAATTCAAAGGCATCTTCTTTGGTCATCCTTATTCATCATCCAGCTTTTGCACGCATATGAGGCAACTGAAAACATCATGGCTTGGGTCAGGTGCACCTCAGTCCTCAAGGTGACATCTTTGCTTTTTAACACTTTAAAAGAGGTCTTCTGCAGCAAATCTGCCCAATGTAATGCATCGTTTGATTTCCTGTTGCTTCCACGGGTGTTGATTCTGGATCCAAGTAAAATGAAATCCTTCAATCTTTTCTCCATTGATCACGATATTAGTTATTAGTCCACTTGTGAGAATTTTTTTTTTTATGTTGAGGTGTCCTCCTAGGATTCTCTTTATCCAAAGAGACAGTTTTAAACTTCTACTCTGATTCAGGTAGGATCCACATCCACCTAGTGGTCCATGTCTCTGAAACTATTCTGGAATTATGGTGCAGATGAGGGCATCACACATAAGAAACAAAAAAGACACATTTCTGAGAAAGACCTCTAGTTGTTACTTGCAGGACAAGTCTTCTTTCATTCTACTTACCAGTCATTTGAAAATTCCATTTCATTATTATCTTTTTAATTTCACCCATCTCACATACATTAGAAGACTGCCTGCTCTACGATAGGCCCTGTTCTTTGTGCTGGTGATACAAGATCCTGATGTGTCATAAGTAGTTTACCCATCCATTCTTTGCTTCAAGAGTTTGAAGGCCTTCTGTGTCACAGGCACAGAAAGTAACAAACAAGCATAAGTTCTATCCCAAATTCTATTTATAGAAAAACAGAACATAAATCAATCTTATACTAAGGGCCAAACAAGAGTTCCAGAATAGTACAGAGAAATGGCAGTTGAGGTGATGATAGAAGATTCCCAGAATTGTTGGCCTTACAGAGGAGTCTTGATGTAAAACTAAAGAAACACAGAGGAAAATGAATTTTAGACAGATGAGGTGGAAAAACCAAAAACTTTGGTGGCACAGTGGTTAAGAATTCGACTACTAACCAAAAGGTTGGCAGTTCAAATCCACCAAGTGCTCCTTGGAAATCCTATGGAGGCAGTTCTACTCTGTCCTATAGGGTTGCTATGAGTCAGAATCAACTCAACGGCAATGGGTTTGCTTTGTTTTGTTTAGGCAGAAATATAGATGTTAAGCAAGAACGATATAATTAGGTGTTACCTTTAAAAACCAAGATTGTGCTGGCAGTAGTGCAGCAGATAAAGAACATAATTATTATAAGATAGAATCTTTGATTATACAATATTTGGTGCTTAAGCTTGGGAAAGGCATCTCTGCTGGAGATGTGGACATGTGGGAGTTGATTGGGTTGGTGGTTGAAGCCAAGATCGTGGGTGGCTGTAGCACCTTTTCCAAAAAGCTTAAACATAAAGATCATGAGAAAAGCTGAAACAGCCAGAAGTTCAATTAGGTCGAAGACATTTGATATTAAGGGCAGTCAGAAAATGATACTGAAGATGCTTGAGTAATGATTGATGGTGTGATGATCAGAAAAAGAAGGGGACCCAGAACTGATGGGAGGGGACCAAATTTTTCACTGAGATGTAGAGTATGGAGGTCTGGATGGGTGTAGTAGAAACTTTTGTAAGGAGAGGCAGAAAATTGAGGAAGTCTCTACCTGATTTCCTCTAAATGTATTATTCACGTATTCATTCACTCACTCATTAAAAATTATTTATTGAGTCCTTACTATGTACAGACATCAGGTGGAGAGATATCAGTCTGTCTCAACCCATTTCTCAACCCCCACTGAAATTCCACCAATCACATAATTCAGTAGTTCAGACATCAGTTTTAGGGTCAGATGGAGCTTAATGGCTTCAACTTCTATGCAAAGAAGAGTAAGAAATTCCACTTCACATACCAACGGTGTCATGTGGAAATCTCACATTTCTGTCTTTGTTTAGTTCTGATACCAGCCACCCATGCAGGATTCTCCCTCTGATTCTAGTCACCTGGGGCTAGGCCAGACCTCACAAGTTAAAAGAATCCGTCCTTCAGACTGCCAAACAGGCAGATGCCAGCTGCAAGTTTGGGAGTCTGAACAACTCCCAATTTCTGACCTGCTGGCTAAAGGGGTGAGGTTCCCTCTAACTCCCTTAAAGTATCAGCCGCAAGATCAGGGGTCCCCAGCCCCCTTACTTCTGACTCTCCTTTCAGTTCAGTAATTCACTTGAATGACTCACAGAATTCACAAAAAGGCCATCATAACAGCTTTAATACAAAAAGGATACAAAGAGATGCACGGGGTGAGGTCTGGGAGGATCCCTGTTCAGAGCTTCCATGTCCTCAGGACATGCTACCCTCTCACAGGAATGGCTGTTTCTCACCAAGTGGAAGCTCCCTTAAGCCTTCAACTTTTGGGCTTTTATTGGCCAGTCCTGTATGATAAGCTAAATCATGCCTTAAGAGGTTAGCATCAGGCCACCAAGCGGCCCGTATGATCTTACCCATCCTCACTCATTAGACTCAGCTACACTCCAACTCTCAGGAAACTCAAACAAAGGCCCAATTGCTTTCTGCAAGGTGGCTCATCACCTCACAGTTAGCAATTCTGAGACTATTTTATGTATAGTCTAAGATTCAACGAATAATGCATTGTGCATAATGAGAATCAGGACTATTATCACCAGAGAAAGGAGCAACATATAAAGTAACGGAAAAGGCTAAAATGAACTCTGTGGTGTTGGGGTACAATAAAAGCTATGGGTATAATCTTGTGGTTTTCAAAATATATACAGATCCATACAGAAATAGATATAAATGTGTCTTTGTATGCGTATACTCACATACATATATTTCCCAGCTCTTTCCACTTTGAGAGCCCAGAAGTAGTAAGCATACCTAATGCCCAGATCTTTGGTTCTAAATATCATTCTCTAGTAAAAGGAATCACGGTTACTTGGAGAAAAGTCTGATTCTAGAGCTTGGACAAAAACGACAAGATAAGCCTTGAACATGGCAGAAAACAATGTACAAATTATAACAAGGCATGTCAAAAAATACACGAACATACTTAACGGAGCTACTAATAACCAAATCTGGGACAGTTTGAGCAAGAAAAAAAAAATTAATATGGATTAGCCTATACTTGTGTAATTGGGTGGCTACTAACCAAAAGGTCAGCAGTTCGAATCCACCAGGCGCTCCTTGGAAACTCTATGGGGCAGTTCTACTCTGTCCTATAGGGTCGCTATGAGTCAGAATTGACACCATGGCAATGGGTTTGGTTGTTTTTTTTTTTTTTGGTTTGGTGTAATTGGAAACCTTGGTGGCATAGTGGCTAAGAGCTACAGCTGATAACCAAAAGGTTGACAGTTTGAATCCACCAGGTGCTTCTTGGAAACTCTATGGGTCAGATCTACTTTGTCCTATGGGGTTGCTACAAGTTAGAATCGACTCAATGACAAATTTCTTATATATATATATACTACTGTAAACAACTTGATAAATTAAGAAAAAACAAAAAAAACTATTGCAGAATTCCAATTAACAAACCCAAAAGAAATTATTGGAACAGAAAATACCATTTGGTAAACACCACAGTAATAGGTAACAATGAGCAATAGGTACTAAAATCAGTATGTCAAAGTATGATGAAAAACAATATTTGCAGTCTCAAAGTATCACCTATAAGAAAATTACCAATTATAAACGGTAAAATAGTTTACAACAGAAAAGAGTGGGAGGAAATGCAATATGGAAACAAAACACTCTTAAACCAAATATCAGTGCATTTTATTGTATGCAAAATAACATCAACAAAAACATTAAAAAATATAAAACCACATTTTCTCAAGGCTATTCCCTGCAGCCTTATTGGTAATAGACAAAAACTAAAAAGGATAAAATTTAGCTTGGACTGAGAAAGTAAAACACATTGATGAGGACAGCCCCACAATTACAATGAAACTGTCATTTCTACCAAAGGCAGAAAGTACATCTAATGACCCCTTCTTTGAGTTACTATTGCTTTCTTATTCACCGAGAAACTTCAATCTTTAATTACAGACTTTCAGAAATTTGCTCTCTGAAATTATAGCAATAAGAATGAAACATCCCATTTCTGATTTTGTCTCTCCACTGTGAGTTCTTCTATGTCTAGTGAGGTGTGAGGGACTCCTAAAGGTTTTCTCACATTACTTACATTCCCAAGGTCTCTCTCCATGATGATTTTTTATATGTGTACTGAGGTTTGCAGATTGCCTAAAGACTTTCCCACATTTCTTACATTCATAAGGCCTCTCTCCACTGTGAGTCCTTATATGTGTAATGAGGGCTGAGGAATGACTAAAGGCTTTCCCACATTGCTTACATTCATAAGGCTTCTCTCCACTGTGAGTTCTTGTATGTGCAGTGAGGGCTGAGGATTCACTAAAGGCTTTCTCACATTGCTTACATTCATAAGACCTCACTCTACTGTGAGTCCTTAGATGTGTAGTGAGGTTTGTGGATTGCCTAAAGACTTTCCCACATTCCTTACATTCGTAAGGCCTCTCTCCACTGTGAGTCCTTAAATGGGTAGTGAGGTTTGCAGAATGCCTAAAGGCTTTCCCACATTCCTTACATTCATAAGGCCTCTCTCCACTGTGAGTCCTTATATGTGTAGTGAGGGCTGAGGAATGACTAAAGGCTTTCCCACATTGCTTACATTTATAAGGCTTCTCTCCACTGTGAGTTCTTATATGTGTAGTGAGGACTGAGGATTCACTAAAAGCTTTCCCACATTCCTTACATTCATAAGGCTCCTCTCCACTGTGAGTTCTTGTATGTGTAGTGAGGTTTGCAGATTGCCTAAAGACTTTCCCACATTCCTTACATTCATAAGGCCTCTCTCCACTGTGAGTCCTTATATGTGTAGTGAGGGCTGAGGAATAACTAAAGGCTTTCCCACATTCTTTACATTCATAAGGCCTCTCTCCACTGTGAGTCCTTATATGTGTAGTGAGCGCTGACGACTCACTAAAGGATTTCCCACATTCCTTACATTCATAAGGCCTCTCTCCACTGTGAGTTCTTACATGTGAAGTGAGATGTGAGGAACACCTAAAGGCTTTCCCACATTCCTTACATGCGTAAGGCTTCACTCCACTATGAATTCTTACATGTGTAGTGAGGGATGAGGCATGACTAAAGGCTTTCCCACATTCCTTACATTCATAAGCCCTCTCTCCACTGTGAGTTCTCATATGTATAGCGAGGGATGCAGACTGACTGAAGGTTTTCCCACATTGCTTACATTCATAAGGCCTCTCCCCACTGTGAGTTCTTTTGTGTGAAATGAGGTGTGAGGAACGACTAAAGGCTTTCCCACATTCTTTACATTCATAAGGCCTCTCTCCACTGTGAGTTCTTGTATGAGTAGTGAGGTGTGAGGAACGACTAAAGGCTTTCCCACATTCTTTACATTCATAAGGCCTCTCTCCACTGTGAGTTCGTATATGTGTAGTGAGGGATGAGGACTGACTAAAGGCTTTCCCACATTCCTTACATTCATAAGGCCTCACTCCACTGTGAGTTATTATATGTCTAGTGAGGGATGAGGCATGATTAAAGGCTTTC